AGCCCGTACCTACGGAGGTCCCTGTGCAGACCTCCGTACGTATGGGCATTTGGGGTCCCGTACGGGGTCCGAACTTGATGGCGTTCGGTCCCCGCCAGAAACTATTCCGGGGCGTAAAAATAATTTGTTTTTCTGAATTGTTTTTTGTGAGTTCTCTATGACATAAGGCACATGCTTATAAAGTTTCAAGTCATTGGGCTCAGCCAAATAAGAATGAAAAATCACCAAAGATGGCGTTCTCGAAACGAGCTCGCCCATGTTTGTTTTCACTTTTTACTTTTTGTTTTCACTTTAGTTCAGGGTTTAAACAATTTTATTATGTTTTGAAACTTTTTTAGTGGGTTTTGCATTATGTGAAGTACACATCTGTAAATGTTTAGGGAATTTAACTATGCAAAAAAGAAAAGAAAATTCATGAAAGATGGCGGTGTCGAAAACGTGCTCGCGCACTCGTTAAATTTAATTCTTTTTTATTTTTTGTTATTTTTATTATTAGTATTTGTTTTTCGTATTTTATTTTTATTTCAAATTTGGTAAGGAATTTGGATGTAATGCTCAGGAAAATCTTGTTTAATTTATTTTTCTTCATAACATATCTTTTTTTCAGATTTTTTTKAATTTTTTGAATTTTTTTTTTATATTATTTTTTTGGGTCCGCGTTCGGCCCGGACGGCCGAACGCATCCCCAATGGGGCCCATACGTTCGGGCGTTCGGGTTCGGTCGTTCGGCCCATCCCGAACGTCGGTTACCCTGTATATATATCGTCACAAATAGAACTGCCCGGTAAACCGTAGGCAGAGAGAGAGAAGAGGACAACAAACGAGGGGCTGTGACAAACTGTTTCGTCGGAGTTTCACCGACTCATTTGCCTCTCGCCGTTTCCCATTTCCGGGCCCCGTAACCCGAGTAGGGATCAGGAGGATGCTCTTATCACCCCCCCTAGTAGTGACGCTGTCCTGGTAAAAAAAAAAACACAAAACCCCCCGAGTAGGCCGAAGCACAGGCGCCAGCGCTGCTGTTTGTGCTCTGCTCATGAAGTGTGAGCTTGGCCAGCTTCCTGCTTTAATAGCAGGAACACAGCACGGGAGGGGTGATGCGAGTGTGGCCCTGAGTGTGTTCTGAACAAAAGGAGGGGTAACGCGAGTGTTCTCTACACTACAGGGGAGTACGATGCCAACCCTCTCAAACCTACCGCAACAGCCCTTCCCTCCCAAGGGAGGTGCCACGCACAAGATAGCAGTAAGCCATCAGATGGGTCCACGAGGGTACGAGGCCGACCCTCATAGAACCTTGGCCCCAGTTCATCCCAAAGCCGGAAAGCATCTCTCAGGGCATATTCATACCACTGTCTTCCCCGAGCACAACGTACCCTCATTTTGGCTGCACCGAACAGGGAAGATCGCTTGTATACATTCGATATCATGCTTTGCGTTCGGGGGCAGAAGGTAGCACTTTCCTAACTAAATGTATGGGAAAGCGATTACGACCGGATTGGTTGCATCCTATAGCAATCAGGTCCATAGCTGATTCGACGAGGTCCTCCTGTGAGTATGCCCTCAATTCGGAGCGAAAGATCCCGCACCAGATTTGCGATCCAAAAGCATCGGACGGCCAGGATATCGATTTTAGAGAAGCGGAGAGGATGTGTTTGTGTTTGGCGCCGGCGCGGCAAAATGTGAGTTTTTGCCCCTGAGCTGGCACTCGCTTTGTTCTAATAAAATAAATAATAAATAATAATTATTTATTATTTATGATTTTCCCAACGAGAAAAAATCATGCTGGACAGGAAATGGAGAATATTGGAAATGCAAGGTGACTTTGAAGAAGGAGGCGGTGCTTCGAGGATTCCGAGGAGTCGTGTGGGGAGGGGGACGTAAGCAACACAAGGGTTCGGTGATGGGTTGGCAGGAGGGGGTGGTCGGCGGTGGGATTGACGCGGCCGCGCTCTCCGTGCCCTGCCTCTTACCGGCGTCGATCACCACCGGCAACCCTGTACGAGGAGGAAGAGTGGGGAAAGAGGGGGAGGGAGGAGAAAGAACAGGAGGTGGAGGTGGAGGTGGGGTTGAGGAGAAGGCGACCTAGATGGTGGGAAGCAATAGGAAGGAGATGGAACGAGGGGAGTTGTAGGTAGTCGTTTTCCGCGGGAGCGAAAGAGCCACACACACAGACACACAGACACACAGACACACACACACACACACACACACACAGAGAGAGAGAGAGA